TGCAGGTTCAAGCCCCATGTCACAACTTGGAACTCTTATAGTCCAAACTGACATTTCAATGCAATGTTGGGGATGTGTTGCGTGCTGCATGTGCTGTGCTTCAGATGAGACCTTAAACCAAGGTCCTGACTGCTTGTTCAAGCTGACATTAAAGATTCCATGGCATTGCTCAAAAAGAGAAGGAAGTTTCTCCCAGTGTCCTTGCCAACAATCTCCCAATAAAATTGGTCATGGTTGTTTGTGGAACATCTCTGGGTGCACAATTGGCTGCCGCGTTTGCCCACAAAACATACAGTCACTCCACTTTACAATTTGTTCTGCAAGGCACTTTAGGGAAATCCTCCCAACATTAAAGGATGTATTAAATGCAAGAATTATTATTATTATTAATAAGTGCAAATTGCAGTTGTATTATCTTATTAATACTGAACTGAAAGACCTTTTGTCAAATTTTAAACTGTATCTTTTCGAGCAATACAATGAGTATAGAATGAATAGAATGAAAAAAAATGAAAAAGGGAGAAAATAACCAAAAATATTGTGATGTGAAAATTTAGACCTCATTATTATAATAACAAGTTAAAATTGCAGTTCAGTGCCTGATTCATGCTGATCCTTGAATTACAACTAAGTTATTATAAACTGGTATGTGACATGTTTCCAGAAAGGCTTTCCAACACATCATACTCCTGGCTTTACTGTGTCGAGATGTCTGCTACAATATAATTTTTTAATATACAGACGAGTCAATGCTAAAATTGCTGGGAAAGGTGCAGAATAGTAAAGGTATGAAATTTAGTAAATGTGCAGAGCATCAACAAGAAGAAGCAAAATCCTTATCCGTTCTCCTCTCTGCCTCCTTGTTTATTTTAATCAAACCTGTTCTCAATTAATCTTTTCATCTTCCAACCATTGTCTCCAGCTAACGCCCCAGCTCCAACCTCCCAGTCATCTCCAAGGCCCAGGAATGAGTTGTCGCGTCCCTGCTTTGCTCTTTCCTCTCCTGCCATTCCCTCTCTGAACCCCTCCAATCGGGTTTCCATGCTGCCCATAGCATGGAAACAGCCCTGGTCAAAGTCACCAATGACATTCTGAACATCTTTGACCAGAGCTCTCTCTGCCTCTTTGTTCTCGTGGACCTCCATGTTGCTTTCAACATTGTCGACCACGCTGTCCTCCTACACCGCCTCGCCTCTCAGCTCAATCTTTGCATAGATACCCTAGTCTGGTTCAAATCCTACATCTCCCACCATTTCCAGTTTGTCGCCAGTATTGGCTTCTCCTCCAACCTCCGCACTGTCACGAGTTGCATCCCTCAGGGCCCTGTCCTTGGCCTCTCCTCTTTAATATCTACATGCTCCCCCTTGGTGACATCATCCGCAGACATGGGGTCAACTTCCACATGTATGCGGATGACAGCCAACTCTATCTCTCTGCCTCCAACCTCGATGCCAGGATCACAGACTGCCTGTTGGACATCAAGTCGTGGATGAGCTAACTTCCTGCAGTTGAATATCAACAAGGCTGAGATCCTCCTGCTTGGCTCCTGTCAGCGCCTCCATACCTTGGGTGCTGACAACATGGATACACTCTACATCTCATGGAGCCAATACGAAACCTCAGCGTGCTGAGCGACCATCAACTGTCCTTCATCCCCCATATCCGTGCCATGACTCGCTATGCCTTTCCCCACTTTGCAACATCGTTCGATTCTACCGCTATCTCAGACTGCGGGCTTCTGGGATCCTCATACATGCATTCATAACATCCAGACTCAACTCAACAAACTCCCTGCTTGTCAGCTTCCCCAACTCCTCCCTCCATAGGCTGCAGATCATCCAGAACTCTACAACCCATGTCCTCTCCCGCGCTAGGCTCCACAACCATATCACCCCCATCCTCGCCTGACTCCGTTGGCTTCCCATCACACAGAAGATACAGTTCAAGATCCTGATCATCACCTTCAAAGCACTCCATGGCCTTCCCCACTGCATCTGCAACCTCTTAACCCCCTACCAAATTGACCGCTTCCTCTGCTCTGCAGGCTCTGGCATGCTTTACGTCCCCTACCTTGCCCACCCCACTACTGGTGGGCAAGTCTTCAGCCTCGCTGCCCCCACACTTTGGAATTCCATCCCGCAGTACCTCCGCCTCCTCCCCATCCCTTGAATCCTTCAAGACCCATCTCAAGATCCTCCTCTTCAACTGTGCCTTTGGTCACGCTCTTTCCACCCCTGTTCTCCATACTCCCCGATCCTAATCTCCATCTTGGGCCCAAAGCACTGATTGTCCAGCACCTTGGGATGTCTGCTCAATGTGAAAGACGCTATACAGATGTAATTTGTTGTTGTTGTTGTTGATGTTGTTGCCTCTGTAAGAGCAAGACCCAGATGATGGATGTCAATTATATGGGAGGGACTAGACATAAGGGCATGATGGTATCAAAAGGACAGAGAGAGTTAAAGTGATCAATGTGTGGAATGAACTCACTTTAATTATAACTATTTCATTATTTGGGGAATTAAGCTTCAGGAAATGAGTGAAATAAAAGATTGGAGCTTAGACTAAAGAAAGTAAAAGAAGCAAAGAAGCTAACGGCAGAAGAGGAAGTAATGAAATGCGAAGAACCAAAAATAATAAAAAGCAGGCAGAGCTAGAAAAGAACAGGGACAATAATGGAATTGTACTCCATAGTTTGCATCAAATCAAAGTGGTTGAGACAACCAGCTCTTTAGTATTGTTAAAAATGAACTGGTGTTTGACATATGGATTATAGCAATATTCAAGTTGTACGTGAAAGTTGAATATATCAGGAAGAACGGATGAAAACCTAGTAAAATACAATTGAATTGTCAAATTTCCAGACATTGCAGACACTGAGCAATTCAAAGAATTGATTTAAGGTCACAAAAACATCATTTTTGTTGGAAGAACACGATCCGGAACACGTTGCATCAGCGTATGTACATGTAGGAGATTTTTATACAATGTGATTTCTAATTATTTCCAAGATTCAAACACAACACACTCCTCTCTGTATAACTGAACAATCATCACAATACATTTAAAAGCTTTGAAAGCTTTCACCTGTATTCAGATGAACAAAATACAATATTCTGTAGAGAAGTATAATGTGATACATTGTCGGGACAAAATCTTCAATTTGAAGACTTGTTGGATGGGATTCCTCTCAAATTGGTTGACCATGAAAGAAGTGAGATCATTGATCACACCATGAAGCCTAAATTGTGACTGGACCAACCAAAAGCACGGATGTACAACACAGACAGTATAATGCAAATCAAAGGAGGTTATTCTGTACTGTGTTCTGTACAGGTTATTAGTACTGTGTCCACTCTGGGCACCACATCTGGTGAGGAATATTGAAATATTGGACCAAGTGCTAAGGAATAATAACAATAATAATTCTTGTATTTGATATATATAGCATCTTAGAGACGTCTCAAAGTGCTTCACAGAATATATTGTAAAGTGAATTGACTGTATATTTTGTGGCCGAAACGCAAGGAAGTCCGACATCCTGATTCCATTCTTCAGAGGGTGTTGCTACAGTGAAAAGGTTAGGGATGGGAAGCTATTCACGCTGCAGCAGAGAAAAGTTAGGAGCAATCTTTGCGAGTTCTTGAAGATCTTTCAAGGAATCGATATTTGGGCAGGTGGCAAGATCTACATCATTATGTGACCCAGAACTCAAGGTCACATCATCAAGCTGGAGAGAAGTCACTTCTGGATGGACGTGGTGAAGCACCTCATCACACAGGTGGTGATGATCTGGAAGAGCTTTCAATTTGACAGTGTCTGTGCAAATAGCATTCACTCATTCGAGAGCAGTCCGGACAGATTTTGCAAGGTAGACCAGATTGTCAACTACTGATAAACCAGCCTAACTATGGCAAGCTGACATTACTAATTGTGGTATGGTAGGGTTTGTCGGATAGGCTCTTGATAGCCCTCCCTTGGAGCTCACTCAACTGCCATTGGGAATCTGGGAGAAATTTTTAGTGACCTTTTCCCTGGAATTGGCTTTGGTTTTTGGGGGGTTCTCTCTGGTTGTTCCCTAGAAGCTGGAAGAACTTCGTGGCTGATAACTCTTTCAAGACGGAGATATATATTTGTTAGGTTAGAGTACTAGGAGTTTTGGGGCAAGGGTGGGTAACTGTACTTGAGGTACAGATCAGCCATAATTGTATAAAATGGCGGATGTATGCTCTATGATGTATACTCTATATAGTTTCTATGTTTCTCTGTTAACAGGAGAGAAGTAGTTGGAATTTTAGGTGGGGTAGACTGTGGGAATTATCTCAAGAATGGACTCATCCTCTAGGATGTTTTCTATTCTGTCCTTTCTATGGATCTGTTTATGTGTCTAATATTCTGTGACAAAGAGTGATGTTGGAGTGATGATGATTGTGATGCTCCCCAATTGTTATTTCAGGCAGAAAAATCCAACGCCTCCTATTATAAACACCAAATACTCCTTTGGAATGTGTAAATGAAAATGTTTTTTGGGTTGTAGAATAGTGCAACAAACATCACACTTTAAGGAAAGAATTGAAATAACTGAACATTGTTTACCAGGAATGTGCCTCCTGATAAGGAGAATTGGAAAACAAACTTGGATGAAAATATTTGAGTTGAAATCCATCATATGGACATCTGGTGGTTTGAACACTGCTGGTAAACATGCCCTGCAGTATCAGGCCTATGACCTTTAAACACACAGTGTGTATCCATTAATTAATTGGTCTGGGCTTTACACAGCAACAATTCAGTCATAAAAATAGATAGTTCTGTCAGGAACAATGAGATGGAGATCTGATCGACTCCCAGCTGTTTGCTGGTCTCCCAGAGGTTGATAACTGATCAATACTTTCTTTTCTGAAACCTGCTTGCTACCATTATTGTATCTAGTGATAGAGGTTCAATACTCTCTGTGTAACTATTGACTGTTGAACTGTAATAAAGGAAACATCTCTTACCTTGGGATCATGAATTCCTGAAAGTTCCTCATACGTTTTCTCTCCCACCATGACAGCGGCCAGATTAGCTGTGTATGTCGACAAACAGAACAAGCAAAATATAGCCCACAGGTTCATCAGGAACCTTCCTGTCCAACACTTCGGGGTTTTGATGGCAGCGGTCCGGCCAAACAAAATAGCATAACACACGTTGAGGGCTGATGAAAACGAAAAGACCTTCTTCCTGTTTCTCCCCTTAGGAGTCATTCCAAATGGACTTTTCCATTCGTACAGAGTCAGAAACAACGCAGTTATATGAAGAGCCACAAAGATCCCCAGCCACATTGACCAATGCAATGGCCACATAAAAGCTCCTATAGGAGCTGCTGTATCTCTCGTTCTCACCAGAATGCCCAAACTAGTGGAGAAGAAAGGACTGGTGAAATCAACCACTTGGCTTCTCGCCGAGTTAATGCTGAAAGATGTCACAGCCAAGTCTGCAGCACCACTGAGAAGATCACCCACCAGGCCTGTCCAGCGACCGCCCTTCCATGCACCGTATTTTCCGTCACCCACTATGTATAGGTCGAAGTCGAAATTCATATCCTCAGCCAGCTTCTCTAGGAGATCAATGCAGTAACCGTAGCAGCACTTTTTGTACTCTATAGGCACAGAATCATTTCCCGACCGCAGGTTTTCAAAAAGGCTTGCAATGACTTCACTATCATTTGTGAGAACATCCAGGCACAACTGTCCCGCGGGACACCGTCCGTCTTCATCGGTATTGCGGGTGAACACAAAAGGGTGTTCAATAAGCGTCACTACTTTCAATTGCAAGCGATACGCCCCACTGTTCCTTTGCTTCTGCATCTTGTTGGGCCAAATCCCATGGTCTATGACAATTGCCCCTCTGTGCCACCTCCCAAGTCGAGTCCACATGGGTTTTCCAACAGGGTCATTTTGCAGGTTCCAGATGTAATAATGACTGTCTGAAGTGATGATGAATGGCTCATTCACTTTGATGTAACCTGTTACACCGTCAAAAGAGGTGTTTGCTAAAAATCTGAGGGAGGAAGAAAATTATTTGGTTTAGTCCTTGCTTTTCCAAAGTGGTTTGCAAACTACCCAAATCTGCTCAGAAATCAGCTTTCATGCAACTAGACAGTAATTTGATTTGCATGTTACTCCCTACCAAATTACTTTATTTCAGCACCTCACTGACCTGAAATTCCACTTAATTTTAGTCAATTAAGACCATTTTTGTTCAACCTTAAGGATGTGTAAATTTATAATAATAATAATAATCCTTGCATTTGATATAGCGCTTTTCACGTCGGGAGGACGTCCCAAAACGCTTCACAGAACACATTGTAATGTGAATTGACTGTATATTTGTGGGCGAACACGGCAGCCAATTGCGCACAGCAATGTCCCACAAACAGTCGTAGATTGAAAATGACCAATTTATTATTGTTTTTGGTTTTTGGAGGGATTATTATTAGGCGTGTGGAGTAAGGAAACTTGCCCAAGGTTTCGCCCTGCCTGGAATTGAACTCAGGTCTCTCGCTTGCAAAGCGAGTGCTCTAACCACTGAGCTACAGGACTGCACGCTTATGAAAAAGTCTTCAATTTACTTCTGAAGAACTGCACGGAAATTGGTTTCCAAAATTGAGAATGAATTCAAGAAATTTTCTCATTTCTGTACAAACATAGGTTTTAGAACAAAATGGTATAAATGGACTGAGATTAGATGGAATTTTAGGTCTCATATATGTGGTGTATGAAGTAAGTACTGTATTGGAGTCCTAAATAGGCTTCTAACATCTTCATATTGTTACTTCTACTTTTCTAATTTCTTTATATTGTCTGTGCCATTGCACAAAGCAGGTGTAATACAGTTTAGACGACACCAAAAAGGTGTTGACAAAAAAATGTTTTGAAGTTTCTATGCTACAGGGAGAAAGATTAAATACCTGCATTTAGAAAACAATTATAAAAAGTGCAAATGTGCTTGAATCTGATTTCCTAAATAAAGCTGGATCAATGCAAACTGCAAACTTGGATAAAATTGAAGAGACACCGTTACCCTCTACCGCCCATTGATTTGATTTTCGTGGCTGTGTCATTAACTTTAAGTGAGTTTGAAATTACAACTTGCAACCTGCCAATATTTGTTTCAGTTAATAAACTATAGGGTAACAGGTGTGTTGAAAAACACTGCTTTGCTGTCTAAACAAGTGGAAGGAAAAAAAGAGAAATGCAATTAAATTGGATTCAATCCAAACTGAAATGTGTTTTTCAACCAGTCATTTTAAAAAAAATACCTAGCAATTTAAAGTCAGTTCTTCTTACTTAACATCCAGTCTGTGTTAACAGGCGGTTCAAGAGATTTGTTTACAGAGCTCACAATGATTTTTGATTGAATCACCAGGATAAGTGGCAATGGTAGCCACGCTGCAATTTCATGCAGCATCAAAATTATTTCATACATATTTTGTTTATCCTTATTGTTAATCATTTCTCTCCATCTACAAAAGCTTCAAGATTGTGATGATACCTTTACAATCTACTTTTGTTTAATTGATCACATGTCTTAACATATGAGATAGCTGTTGCCAGTCCCTTCAGAGTTCAGGTGGACGTGAAAAATTCCATGGCACTGTTCGGAAAGAGAAGGGAATTTCTCTCTGTATCCTGGCCAGCAATTCCCTAGATAAAGTTGATCTTTCACTTCATGGCTGTTTGTTGTGCATTATTTTGCAAACATCAAGTGATTTGAGAAAGTCTCCAGTGTAAATGGCCCCATATCAAATATAAAGACTATTTATTAATTGTATTCGAATAGAGGTATTGTACTATACAAATTATATTGAATTTGACATGGCCTTCCCAACTCTTCCCTTCACAAGCTGCAGATCATCCCAAACTCTGTAGCTTGTGTACTCTCGCGTACCAGCCTCCGTGACCCCATCACTCCCACCCTCGCCCGCCTCCACTGGCTCCCCATCCCTCAGAGGATCGAATTCAAGATCCTCGTCCTCACTTTCAAGGCCATCCATGGCCTTGCCCTCTCCTACCTCTCTGACCTGCTGACTCCCTACCAACCTGCCCGCTCCCTCTTTTCAGCGGGCTCCGGCCTGCTCCATGTCTCCCGTCCGACCGGCCCTACCATTGGTGGCCGAGCTTTCAGCCTCTCTGCCCCCACAGTCTGGAACTCCATCCCACACTCCCTTCATCTCGCTTCCTCCCTTGCCTCCTTCAAGGCCGGTCTCAAGACCCTTCTTTTTGATTGTGCCTTCAGTCGTCCTCCCACCTCTCTGCCTTCCCTCACCCCTAACTCACCCCTCCCCCATGCTTGGGTCCTAACCCCTGACTGTCCAGCGCCTTGGCACATCCTCCCGACGTGAAAGGCGCTCTACAAATGTAATTTTGTTGTTGTTGTTTGTTACATTAAAATACTAAAAACAATAGTGCTACAGTCTCTGTGTTGCAAAATGAAAGAGAATGTCAACAGCAGATAATTGTATCCATTTAATTTCAGTTTACACATTACCCTTCTGTGATGTTGTAAGCTTTGGGTTGAAAGTACTTCACAAGAATTCGTCAAAAAAGGCTTAATTTTTTCTTCTGCATATTTTTCGATTTCCCTGGAGCTCATGTATCCACGGCATACAGACAAAAATTCTCTACTCATACTTCAATTTGTACTCTTAAAGCAACACAATATAAAATTACTTCTCTGACATATAGCGAGCAGAATCTGTCTTCTGCAAACTGACTGCAATAACTGTTGAAGTGTCTCCAAGTGCTTCACAGATTAATTGCTGTTAAGTACAATGCCTGCCTGTATTTGTAGGCAAAAGTGACAGCCAATTTACACATTACAAAGTCCCATCAACAGCCACAAAGGTTATCAGAAAAAATATTGGCCTGGATACTGGAGAGAAATTCGCTTCTCTTTTTAAATTGTGTCAATGGATTTTTCATGTCCACCTGAAGAGGCAGAAAAGAATACAATTGAACATTTCATCCAAAAGACATCACTTCTGACAATGTGCTGGCGGCACTCCCTCAGTACCAGACAGCAATGTCAGCCTAGACTGTGAACTCATAATCCAGTCCTGGAACGAAATCTAATCTTCTGACTTAGAGATGAGAAGGCTATGACCCAGCCCAGCTGGCACATGGAACTAGCACAGATTCAACATCAATTAAGTCATAGGTGTAAATTAGGAAAATGCAAAGTATAATGTGAACTGTAAACCAGGTGTTCCATTATAAGGATGAAATAGAACTTCCCAAGTGAGAAGCTGAAAGAGATATAGCAGCTGTTAGTTTATTCAGTGCTCACCATGTCGAAACAGTGCAAGGGCAGCAATGCACAAGGCAAACAGGCTGCTGGGCTACACTGCCAATCCGTTGAAATCACACTCTAGCTGTACATACAGTGTTCTGGTAAGACCGCACCTAGAGTTCTGCATACAGTTCTGGTCACTGCAACATAAGGAGGCTCCCAGGGTCGAAAGGCAATGCAGAGAGCGATGAGGATGAGTGAGAATGATTCTTCCGATGTTGAAGGAATGAGCTACGTATAACAATTTAACAAGCTAGGACTCTTGAACAACAACAACAACAAAATTACATTTGTATAGCACCTTTCACGTTGGGAGGATGTCAGTGCCTCGGACCTGAGCTGGGGATTGGGTTTCAAGGAGGCAAGGGAGGGGCGAGGCAGAGGGACTGCGGGATGGAGTTCTAGAGCCCCTCCCACCAATGGTGGGCCGGGTGAAGTGGATGACGGGAAGCAGGCCAGAGCCCGCTGAGCGGAGGGAGCGAGCACGTTGATAGGAGGTTAAGAGGTCGCAGAGGTGGGGTGGGATCAAGGCCATGGAGGGCTTTGAAGATGAGCACCAGGATACTGTATCCTCTGTCTGATGGGAAACCAGTGGAGTCTGGTGAGGATGGGGGTGATAGGGTCGCAGAGCCTGGTGAGGGAGAGGACACAGCCTGCAGAGTTCTGGATGATCTGCAGCCTACGGAGGGAGGAGTTGTGGAGGCCAACAAGCAGGAAGTTTGCGTACTTGAGCCTGGATGTTATGAATGCATGTATGAGGGTCTCGGCAGTCTGTGGTGTGAGACAATGGTGGAACCGGGTGATGTTGCGGAGGTGGGGGAAGGCAGACTGGGTAATGGCACAGGTGTGGCGTAGGAAGCATAGTTGAGGGTCAAACAAGATGCCAAAGTTCCAGACTGGCTCAGTGAGATGGAATGTGTATCCTTGGATGGTGATACAGTCAGCGCCTGAGGTATGGAGCCAATCAGGAGGGCCTCGGTCTTGTTGACGTTCAACCGTAGAAAGTTAGCTCTCATCCAGGACTTGATGTCTGACAGACATTCTGTCAGGACAGTAGTCTTGAAAGAAGACATAACAGACTTGTTCTTAAAAAAGTTGTATAAAATTTTAAGTGAGATTGAAAATGTAATCCCCCTCCAAAATACTTTTAATACATCAAGACATTTGAACAAGAGGACAGAGGTTAGACACAGTAACATACAAACAGAAATAAGCCATTCAGCCCTTCAAGTCTGTTCCCCCATTCTATTAGATTATGGCTGATCTGTAACTCAACTCCTGTATGACCTATCTATCCACCTCAGTTCTGAAAATTTGAAAGAATTCACCATCCACAACTTCTTGCGGGGGTGAGTTCCATATTTCCACTACACATTGCGTGACAAAATGCTTCCTGATTTCACTCCTAAATGGCCTAGCTCTAATTTTAAGATCATGGCCCTTTGTTCTGGATTGCCCAACCAGAGCAAATAGTTTCTCTGTAGACGCAGAGAATTGGTAAGCTTGGCACTGATGGTGGGGTGGGTTGAGCAGGGATTCACAGCCCAAATTAGCTGATCAGAGTGGGGCAGGAGGAGGTCTGAGAAACAGGGACTTGCTAGGACTCAAAGAGATTTGCTAGTGACGGTAAGGACCAACAACCTGTGTTACTCACCCATATTAATCATTGTCCAAAAAGGACAGTTTATAAAATTTTATAGACAGTGAGATGAGAGTAATTACAGGCTTTATTGCATAGATAGTTGCACTGCAATTACTCCCTGCTACGTAGAACAATTGCCATTTTTATAAACCGCAATTAAAAGACATTATAAAGTCATAAAACTCTGTACTAAATGTTAGTACAGAGCATATGAACATTTATATAACAAACAAATGGTCTGAGACGCATGTGGAAGACGTTATACAAATGCAAGTAGCTGTGGTTGTAAACAATGAAAGCTAATAATACGGAACACCGAACACTAATCAAATAAAACACAATATATCTTGCTCACATTTTTTTATCAAGAAAAATCAAAGAAGCTTCAGTCGTTTAAGACATTGTGACTTAAGGACATACCCAAAGATGTGACTAGAGAAAAAGATGACGTGGGGGAGAATGGTAATGTTGCTATTAGTTTACACAAAAGATTGGTTTCAACTTTCTTCTTGTTAAAATGACATTATCTAGTTCCTCCTAGCTTCACCTGGTTGGGAGAAGGCACATCTCCAGTGATCTGAGTCGATCCTCAGTTACCTTTTCAACCTCATATTCAGTCCTTGACTCAGACTGTTTTTTTCATCTCCACCACATTACCGATCCCATCTCACATTAAACATCGCCGAAACCCTCATCTATGCTTTGTCACCACTTGGCTTAATTTCTCAAATGTGCTCCTTACTGGTCTCCCCAGTTCCACCATCCACAAGATCCAGCAAATCCAAAATTCCATCATCTTTGTCCTCACCCCCATCAAACTCAGTACACCCTCCAACCCAATCCTTACCAGGCTCCACTGGCTCCTTCTCTCCAAATGGATCAATTTGAAGATGCTCTCCCTCACAAACAAATCCCTTCCCCTTCTAGCACCTCCCTATCTTGTCACCTGGTCATACCCCACCCATCACTCAGCTAACCCGAGCTTCTGTGCATCCCCTGACCTCTCCATGCCATAATCAATAGCTGGGCTTTATTCACCATGCCCCAAATCTTTGAAACTGCCTGTCTTAGTCCCTCTGCCTCATCCCTTTTCTATCATTCTTGAAATCTCATCTGAAAACCTCCTCTTTAACCGCGAAGTCACCTCCCCTTCTCATTCTCCATTACTTGGCGTTCAACCCACCACTGCGCAATGCTCCGAGATGTTAGCCTTGTGAATTGTGCTACATAAATGCAAGTTGGTGTTTGCTGGCCCAGGTGTATGAGATCAAAATGGGAAAGTCATAGCATAAAATCATTTACTAATGATCAAGCACCTGGTTGTTGTTCTTGTCTACCTTCTGACATGAAGGACACGATGAAATGCAGATGTCTTGATTCTCTTTCTGTCATTAATAGGCATTTCACAAAAGAAAATTACCGAAGCTTAGGTGTCAGCTTGGCTCAGATAGCAAGACCTACTTTGGAACTTTGAACTCATATAGTCTAGGCTGTCATTCCAGTACAATGCTGGGGATGTGCTATCTTTTCAGTTGTGTCATCCTTAAGATGAGACGTTAAACTGAGCTGCCTGCCTGTCCAGATGGATTTTAAGGATTCCATGACACTGCTAGAAATGAAAAGGGAGTTTCTTCCAGTCCTGGTCAACAATCCCCCAGATAAATTGAGCATTCATTTCATAGGCTATTTGTGAGCATTGTTGTGGGCAAATTGACTTTCTAGATTTTTGTATTTTGCTTACAAAATGCACAGTCACTACCCTTTGGAGGAAATCTTGTAATGCATTTTGAGATGTCCTCCTGACATGAAAGGCACTATACCAAATGCATGGATTATTATTATTATTATTATAAAATGGAACTGTACATTCAGCAATGCCATGTTAATTTGAATTGTTTTAAATTAGAATATTTGAAAATGTAGAAACAGTTGCCCCAACTTGGATTGATTTGAGCTATTGGTTAGTTTCAAAATGTATAATAATAATAATCCTTGCATTTGATATAGCGCTTTTCATGTCGGGAGGACGTCCCAAAGCGCTTCACAGAATATGCTGCAAAGTGAATTGACTGTATATTTGTGGGCGAACGCGGCAGCCAATTGCGCACAGCAATGTCCCACAAACAGTCGTAGAAAATGACCAATTTATTATTGTTTTTGGTTTGGAGGGATTATTATTAGGCGTGTGGAGTAAGGAAACTTGCCCAAGGTTTCGCCCTGCCTGGAATTGAACTCAGGTCGCTCGCTTGCAAAGCGAGTGCTCTAACCACTGAGCTACAGGACTCCCCCCTCCCTGCATAGATATTGTGTTAACACCTGGATGGCATCGCTGTAGAACTCACAAGTGACAATGTAGTAAACAAAATAATCTTTCACATGATCATTGCAGAGAAATTCAACCTGGATCTGAATATATTGATTTATGTTACCATATCAGTAAGTCAAAATTTGCAAATTCTTAAATACAACCTCAATTTTTAAACTGGTTTTCAGTAAATTTCTTTTAAGAACTATAGAAAGCTGACTTCCAAACTCAAACTAAATTCAACAACTTGCAAAATTCTGGATGCTCTGGAATGTTGTATAAACAGACCCAGGCATAATTTGATGTTTATCCCCATAGATCTGGTCATTTCTTAGAGAGTAACCTCATTTCTCACTTTAGTTCTTGTAGCCATCAACATGTTATGCAAAACTACCGTATAATTATTGTGTACTGATGATCACAAATATCTTCAGAATAATAAAGCTTACCTTGAAAGAAACTGGCCTGATGATGCATTCATTGTTTCCCTTTGCATGCAGTTTGTTGTAGTTGGAATAAGAGCCAACTCTGGTTTGACATAGGTTGCAGCTGCAACTGCTCTGGCTATCAGCTCCACTGCATCCTGCACATAATTGCGGAAAACAGGTTGTGTAGTTTCACCATGAGCCAAAAGACCTATTGGTAATCCTTCAGTTCTTAGTTCTTCCACATTCTGCGAGTCGCCAAGAATCCAATGATATTCTGGCAATGTTAATCCATATTTCATGGCTAATTGAAAAATCCTTCGGAATTCTTCAACGTCACAGCCGAATGTGATGATGGTCAACAAAACGTCTTTTTCTGTGTCCGAGCGCTCTTGTAAATAATTCAAAAAGTCGTCATCATCTTTCTCTGAAGTGATATTTAAAATAGTTTCAAGGTGAAATTTAGAGTTATTGTGCAAAAGGTTGAGAAAGTTGGTAACGTTCCATTCTTGGCACAAAATCAGGCTGACATCATACCAGCTATTCATTGTCAGGAGGAAGATAAGTATATCCACATGTGAAGGGTGAAAATTGTTTAGGCTCATCTGCAGATGGAGTGGATTCTGTATTAACAGATAAAAAGAAGAAAAAAATCAGTACAAAATGTCAAAAAGAATTATACTTTATAAATATTGGCCCAACTTTCCTAAATATATGCAATTAGCATTCTTGCAGTCTGTTTTTGTGGAAATCCTCATGACTCCTATTTTGAAAGGAGCTGGAAACATTTGCCCTCTATATTAATTTGGCATCTATGTTATATGCAGTTCCTCCTGGGAAGTCAAAAGCTGAAGCTATTCAGCAAATTGCTGCAATTGCAATTTTTCAACATGGAAAATTCAAAAGTACAAAATTAATCAAATGAGAAAACCTGAGACAATTGGGCAATGTTAGATTACTTACCTGATGTATCGTCTTCCTCATTTATTTGAATGAAATTGAACATACTCCTAAAAGCGAATAGGACACAGTGTATATCTGAACAGGGGATAAATATTGGGACAATGTCCCTTGAAGAGTTTGATGGTATATGGGGGTCATGATAGTCATTTGGTCATTCATGTGCTTCTCCCCCATCTTCCTACCAAACAAAAACAAACAACTAGATTGGTGAATGCCCTTGATTTTATTTGAAGGGAAATGTAACATTCCAAATTTATTTTCTTATTTTCTCTCCATGGCTGGCACATGCACGACATTCTGAATTTCTCAAATGTAACCCACGTAAAGCGTCAGACATAAACATCCAATTGAACTGATTTTTCTGAAGCGAAGCTACATATCCTGAAGATGAATGGTTTCTCATCAACATCTGGATGTATTACTTGAATTATGCAGTTCGTTGTGACAAAAATCTGGAACATGTCTTTCAAAACAAACAAGCCCAAGGCCTTGGTGACGAAAGCCAAGTCATATGGAAGAGTTTGCCTTTAGATTTTGCTTTTGCATTTCTAGGATCAAAATGCCTTAAATAAAAAGATCTCACTGACTAGCCTTGGAAAATTATTTCCTTAAGAATCAAAATCAAGTCTACAAAACAAAAGTATTGGCATTCCCTGAGTCTCCTTCCTCTCTTAAAAGAATGTAATTTCCCTTAAAACTTGAAGCCTAGTCAAGACAGATTCTTGTCAAAGATATTTCTTTCAAATTTATTCTTATTTTTTACATTTTCCAGTGTGATATTTAAATCCTTTTGCTGAAATGAAAATTTTGCCATATTTGACTTTCAGGACTAATGGAAATCTGAACATCTCAGCCAGGAATATCTGTGAAGCAAAATTCCTCGGGTTGCAGTTGCTACCCAATCGTTGTAGCAGTGTCGCAACATCAGTAAGAGTGACAAGTTTGCACCAGAACTGTCACTGATAGTTTGACAGAAAGGAACAAGTCTGTCCCACTGATTAGTGTTGTTGGTTTATCGACAAATACAACTCAACAAGCCTAGCCGGATGCATTTCTCATCTGCCAAATGCCTGTGGGTTGTAGCTATTTTTTTAGAGTTGTCTTAGCTTTTTGGATACTTTCAAGCTCTGGGTTGAGTAGCCACTTTGTTTAACATCGAGAATATCATGAGTCAATGCGAAGCTAAATGAGACCTTAAACCATTCCTTAGAGTAGACTATATTTGATTTTGTTGCATAAAAACTGAGGAGGGGGCGAGGGTGGGTGATGGTATTGTGCCAGTGACTGTAAGGATAGAGCATTTTCATGATATGTGCAGATTTTTCATTTTAAACACATATCGGCAAAGATTTGTATATTTATACAGCAATAGTTGAGGAGGCCCATGAATGCCCTCAGTAAAAGATAAAGCAACTTTGACTCTCTTCTCCCACCCAATGTTAGGATAATTTATTAATCATATGTAGAGTTCAAATGAAGAAGAAAGTCTTCTCGACTATCAGTGATTTTCCAAAGTGACCACTCTACCTCAGAAAAATAATTACGTTTCAAATCCTTTAATTAAAATAGGTGCAAGGCAAAAGGCAACTTTTGATGCTCTACTGGTGTGTCAGCTTCAAGTTAATGATAATGGTAGGTCAGCGCTAAGGTCCGTTCTTAACAATACAGTTTAATATTTCTCAATATTTAATAAATTATAGAAAATAATTCCTGGTAATATCCTAAAATGCAAAATAGTGACAAATTCCCAAGTTTATTTGCCTTGGTATGTCACTCAATTATACAATTTTCTTTGATTGTTCTATATTAAATGGGTTTGCAATTACAATCACTCATAATAGTGTTAGAATTTACACTTTTTGTATAATGTTAGAATCATGATAGATGTTGCGAACGGGTTAACTTTTAAGTTAAGTGTGTTGTGGGCAGCTGGACTGAAACTCCCTACACGTACACGAGATAACGGACTGACTCAAGGACAGTGTGTTTGTGTGTGTGAGGCACGTACACCCCATGAGGTGTTCACGTGAACCCAGCATGATTTCGACAGGTGATCTAATATCCACACCATGATTGGATGAATATTGGTATAAGAGTTCCGATAACTTTGTGTACGGGGCCGTCCTGGGTCGCGGAGACAAGGATACGGGAGATGGAGCCATCCCGGGTCGCGGAGACAAGGATACGGGAGATGGACCGTCCCGGGTCGTGGAGACAAGGATACGGGAGATGGAGCCGTCCTGGGTCGTGGAAACAAGGATACGGAGATGGAAGACTAAGAGCTGGAAACACTAAGACTGAGGATATCAGATGGAAGATTGAAAGCTGTAAGCAAGAAGACTGAAAGCATGAAGAATCAAGCTTGTGTGCTGGAAAGACACAGTGTTGAACTCTTGAACTCGAGATATCTATACTGGTGTTATTCTGTTATAAGATCTGTTGATTGTACCGGCCTTTGGTCTGACCCATCGGGATATTGGGGAATAACGAACGAATTATAATAAAACAGTCTGATATCTGGTTAGAGGAATTAGCGTTATTTCCTTGCAGATTTGGCTGATTTTATTTTCTAACAATAGGAAGAGTTTCAAAAGGGACAATTGAGAGAATTCCTCCTTTGCGCCTTTCCCAAAAATGGGCAGATACAAAGAGTTGTTTAGGAGGGAATGAATACCAGAAATGGGAAGATATCATGTCTTTGATGCAAGTTAAAAAAAAGCCAAGGTAAGACAGAGGTCTGAGATAACTAATGAAAATAAGTGAAAACTCCAGAAGACAAGAAGGAATCAGCAACAAGAGAGAATGGAAACAGTTTGCACAATGTGGGAAAGAACATGATTGAAAGTGCAAGTGGATCTGCCTGTGCAGATCAAAGATAGGCAGAAAATATCCTGACAGAACAAAGATGCCACAAACGCACATCAGGAAGATTTTGAACAGACCAAACACCATCAATACGGAATGATTGTTCACAGAGTTGAAGGAAGAAGTGGCAGAATTGTATTTAAGCATTGAACCTTAACAAGGAATGAGATCAGTAAGGCCACGCTAAAAAAACGTTGACAGATGATTAATGACTGGTGGAGCAGATGTCATGTCTTTGAGGCCCAAGATGGCGCACCAGAAATACATATATTGGATCACATTAGTTTTGATCGAAATTTGTTGATAGAGGACATAGAAAAATCATTGAATCGCTCTAAAAAAGGTAAAAAGCAGAAGGTATCAATATTATCTGTACCTGCAAGGTACATCCGTACATGTGAACTGGAAACAATCAAAAGAGTGATCAATCATCAGGAAAAATATCAAAGTGGATTTCACCAAAACAAATTCAGCAGATCTTTGTAATAAGGAAAGTTACTAAAATACCTTTTAAAGACCATTTGATTTTAGAAATGAAGGAAACACATGTTTTTATGGCACCTATATTTGAGAAAACATCTCAAAGTGTTCCAGAATAATTCATGTCACCTGTAATCCCATATGATTGGCCTTTTTTAATGGGAACATTTTGCAAACATTCACCAAGAGGTTAACCTGCAAGCGAAATGAAAGTAGAATATAGAAAAAAACTTGGTATCTTGAAAAAACATAGTCTCTTATTATATTATTATGAAACCCCAATATAAATTCAGTTACAGTTTTACAATCTAGATTTCAGTTAAATGTAGACCCAGGTTGAATTTGTCCCTGTATATTTCATATTCAGAACTCATTAGGTGAGGAACTTTAGGATAGAGTTCCATGTCTATTAACATGTAACAAAAATCGGGTATTCCCGCATAATTGGAGCATGAGTCCAATGACTTTCATATTAGCCTTCATACATCACTGTTAAATGATCCCAACACATAAACCATAAAGATAGCAAAGGAAAGTATAACTTATAAAATCCTGAAGCAAAAACGCTTTCATTCTGCCTCAGACAGGATCATGCTACATACCGTTTGAAATCTCGTATTCATGGGAAACTGATACGACTGTGGAGTTTGAATTCATTTTGCTGAGTAATTACTGTCAGTTTGATTCTCATAAAGAAAGGGAGAGTTCAGAAGAGACAAAGGCATACACAAAAGATGAAACACAATGAGCACAGCATGAATAGGATGGTAACATAAGATCTGTGTATAAAGTGGTCATGTTCAATGAGAGACACAGCGATCATCTTTTTTTTTAAAGTGTTGGAGCATATGAATATGAAATATGCGGGAAAAAAATCAATCTGATTTGCTCAATTTTGACAGTATCTAGAACTTGGTAAATTTATAAATGCAGGCTTAAATTTTCTGGATTTTTTTTAAAGAACTACAGAAAATTGCTTCAAAGCTGAGACTGAACTCAGCAATTGACCGAATTCAAGATGCTTTGAAATGCTACACAAAGGGAATAATTCTAGACCCAAGTGAAATGTCTCCCCAACCTGTCTTGAGCTTTTTGAGATTCGGTAATGTCCTTTCTTCAATGGGGCAGCTCCAAATCCATGTACTCAGAGGACACAGTTTCATGGACAGGCAGGCAAGTTATTGTTTTGATGCCAAGAAAAGAACCACATGGTTCCAAGCTAATGAGTTTGCCATTCCCCCTTCGCCCCCCACTCCCCAACCCGCTCAAGTCCTAATCCCCGACTGTTCAGCACCCCTTGGGACGTCCTCTTGAC